TAACCGGCTCCATCTGAATGCTGCCAATTACCATCATCAAACAGAGTAATATTTAACCTTCCTAACTCCAGAGGACCACCTTGTCAAAGAGGGAAATAAAAAAAAATGCTATATAATTGATGCTGTGTAGTATGGCATCAATATTCAAGTTAAAAAGTCTTTCTAAATTGCTCTCCTTTTCCTACCTGGACCCAGCCCTCCCTACAGGAAAAAAGGTGATTTTCAAAGCGAATTTTTTTATCAAAACTCTTTTGAAATTGTTATATGATCTTAGTTTAAAGGGTTTGCAACTTAATTTAAAACTACTAAGAACTCCCTCTTTCTCTCTCCTTATATATACTTATCTTGAACCTCATCCTCTTCTAAGTAGGTTCAACCTTTTATTTTCCTATTTGAATTTATTAAGCACTTTCTCGCTAGCTGAATAGCATTCTCAGGCATCTCTTCTTCCGACCTAAAAATCCCTGTTTTACCTCAATGTCAATTAAACTAACCATTTTTTTATAAGCTGCATTCCTTATTGTAAACTAAACCAACATTTTCCTTACCTACCAAAGTATAGGTGCTTCAATGGCGCCCATCTGTTTGATTTTAATTAAATTCCAGACACCTCAACAGTCAAACTGTGATCATTATTATTACCATGAACTACAGTAATTACTCTAAAATTTCAAACACTACACTTTTATCAATGTTGGACTTTCTTGAAGCCCTCTCATTTTTAGTTTTCAAAACATTTGACATAAACCAAACTTTATTGATTTTCATGTCTTATAAACCATCTTCTTCAGGTATTAGGCACACCAGTTTTATGAGCTAAATATACTGTTTAATTTTGTTCAAATTTTTAGAGTAACTACCGTATTTATACTATCCTCAAGTACTTAGTCGGTCTCTTTGGGTGATCTTAACAACAGGGTAATCCTGTGAATAAAAAACAGGTCCTACAGCCAATAAAGCACAAAACAACTAATCTTGTATCATTTTCATGCCACCAATTTGTCCCCTGCTGTAACAAATTGAAATTCCTTCTGTATTTCACCCCTGAGATAACATCAACCTTAATATCAGATCAGCTTTCCTTTTATTTGTGTCAGTCATGGTTTAAAAAAATGGATTTTTTTCTTTTTTTTTTTTTCTTTTTTTTTTTTTTGCAAATTTTAAGTCTTTATGATTTCTCCTTCACCTTTTTTTATGATCTAAGCAAAATTTAATAAATGGCATTCCAACACAAGTAGAAATATCCAAACACAGCAGCTCACTTGTTCCCATGGGTGTTCCTTTTCCTCTCTCCTTTTCAACCCACAACCTAAGATTCCTCACATCTTAAATCCATTTTAAGATTGCCAAAGATGATCAAATGATATCTTCAACACTGCATGAATACTTGATTTCTCTCCAAGCAATTCATCTGGAACAAGTGGAGTCAACTTAGTGCGATGGGTCTGCCATAAAGTTATACAGTCCAAATCTTCAACTTGGTCCATAAAAGCTGGCTAATATTTATGTTCTTTTTCAGCTTTTCAGGAAAGAAAGTGATCCTTCATCCCTGTTGGAAACGCTGAAAGTTCTCTTGGGCAACAGCTATCAACTTGGTACACTGTGCATGTAGTAAAATCATACAGAGCGAAGACTGTGAAAGCAGACCAAAGAGTTCACAGTAAATGAGGTGGCAGCGTATAGTGTTAAGTGTCTCTATGAGCATTCCTATAGGTTCAGGGCCAACTGCTCATCATAATGCTGGTGTCTGGCCTTGTATTTTCTATCATGGCTCAATGCAAGACTTACTGTTATTCTCCCAGTGGCAGAGAAACAAGTAACTGTATGTTTAACATGAAAAACAAAAACTTTCCAGTGTGAAGATTCTAATCAGGTGTCAGTTGTCTGAAGTCAATGCTTTAGGTGTCTATACTGTCAATTTTTCAGGTGTTTGTTATAATGTCAATTTTTCTTGACTTATAATTGTTATCGATTGTCACTTTTTTCTCTCTGTTTTTACATGTTTGCGGTCACTTTTATTTTTATCTTTTGCTAAATTTCCATGTATCAACCTTCATTTTTTAATTGTCTTTCTGCTGATCAGTTTTCCATGTATTAGTTATCAATATGAAAGGTTGGAGTTGCTAGGTATTTAAGAAGCACAATCTGTTTTCATCGGTCATTTCAGAAATAAGATCAATCTGGTCACTTTTCATGTGTAAGGTGTCTCTTGGAAGGTATTTTCTGTCAGGTGTCACCTGTCAACTGTCAGCACTGACCATAACCTTAATCCACTATGATATACAGACGGCCATTTGCATCATCCACCATATCACCTGTTCTTGGTCAAATTCAGGGAAAATGGCTGCGCATAATGGACAGGTGAGATGTACAAGCATTCATGCCTGAAATAAGGAATCGTGTTAATGCCTCTTAACATGTTTGACCTCCTTAATGTGTGCTTGTTAATACATCAGAGTTCTGTTATGTTACCAGTGTTAATTCCATTCCAGGCACCATGGAAATAAGGATCAGGCCACATGGAGATCAAAAGAAGAAGTGCATCCTGACGGTGTTCATTTTTCTTTTCACGAAAAGAAACTAAAACCTTTTCCCTTCAACTGTGTCTGGGTACTTCTAATCATTGCTTAGACAGGCGGTAACACATTTGTTATTAATCAAAGAAAACTATGTTGTTTACGTAACTTTTATGCTTGACATGTAAATAGAAAAGAAAAAACATTTCAACAAGCTACATGTACATAACTGTTACAACTGTATCCCATCTATGTTATTCCACCATGACCATACGTATTTTTGCATTTCTCTTTCAAGAAAAAAGTAACTAACAATATATTACAAGACATATCATACCACAAATTTCAGCTTCGGACTCCATCAGCAATCATTAAAGCAACACAGACAGTGCACACCTATGCATAATATCTTCAACCAAATTCCTTCTCAAATCTACGCCAAGTCCTGTACACTTCCTACTGCCCGACCTGAAATGTCCATTGCTTTAATGCCCAATTTTATCTTAATACCGGCTAACCTATGCAACTACATACTGATCGACTCCTCCCTCACTCAGAGATAAAGATAACCACCTTAAAGCCAGCCAATTTCACTTTATCTGCTAATTCTGCTCGAGCCTTGTCACAGCAACCAATCAGTATACAGTATCCCCAGTAAGATTTAAGACATACACTTGTTGTATATCATAGTAAAGCATGAACTCTGTGGTTGAAAATGTCTTATATTTTTTAGATACAGATACTGCAAATTTCTAAATACCTGTGATATTAAATTCTTCAAGTATTGGTTAGAGCTATAAAAGATGATAGATGTAAGTCAGATGTAGAAGTTATAACTGCCTCTTTTCACCAAAACTTTCAGTATGATCAGCACAAACTCATACCTCATCCAACGGTGACCATTTAGATGGTCAGTTTGACCATTGGGAGTGGTCAACTGTCCCGAGGTTGTCCTTACTTGTGATTGGTTAACCAGAAGTGTGCAAGCTGATAAACTCAGTTTGCATAGTGCAATTCTGATAATTAAGCCTCTCTCTCAATTAGAGCTGGCCTATTTTGAAATTATGCACCCATGACTTTGAGTACTGCTGAGTACTGATTAGGATGAAAATGGCCTGTGTGAAATACTGAATTATCAAATATATAGATATTCACCTTTTCAGTATGTACATAAAAACTTTCATGAACCCTCAAATTGTAGTTTTCTTTTTAAAGCCCCAAAATTCTCATTTTGTACACAGTCAAGGCCTGAAATGCAAAATGATCTTTCCTACATATATTTTTTAAAAAAATCTTTTTTATCTGGCAACCTATATTTAAACCAAGTATGAAGAAAAATGGAAAAAATAAATCCTAAATTCTCAATCAGAAGTCACCACTTTTATGTACATCTTCATAACCTCCAACATCCTGCCAGAAATGTAAGAAAAATAAAGAAAACTTTGATCAGAAAATTGAAATTCAATCATTCACCTTCGCTAAAACTATCTTGTTTGATGTTTTAAGTCAACCGTTACGGGAGCACCCATATCCTCAGGTGATTTGCACCAGTTGTTTTCATGTCTTATTACGCAGAGTATAAACTGGTCTTTTGTGCAGGTGTATATTTTTAAGACAGGAGTAGTATATTTATTCCTTGAAGCCAATGTCGATTTAATGAAAACAAAAGCACAAGAGAAAGCGTGCCTGTGAGTGCATGCACATGTGTGCATGTGCGTAGATATACTGAATGTGTCTGCATTAGGTGTGTGTGTGTGTGTGCGTGTGCGTGCGCGCGCGTGTGGAGAGAGAGAGAGATAGAGAGAATGGAGGTAGGGGAGCAATGACACATATTACAATGCAGCCAGTAAGTCACTCATGATCTACTCGTCAAAAGCAATACCACTACTTCACCAAAGTAATAAAACAATAGCAATACTGCAGGACAACAAAAGATCCACTTGAGAAGAGGAAGCATGCAATCTTCAAACAACAATCAGAAGTAGGTATATCACTTGAACTCAAGCACATCAGACACTCTCAGAATAAACTGAAATGCCACATTGATTTCAAAGAAGTATTTTGTGCCAGGGCTCACGTCTGTTATATCAATTTTACTGTAATTCTAACTCCATGGTATTTAAAAAGTACATAACTTCTGAGAAAATTATTTTTATTGCTTGATGTAATGCTGACATTTGCAGTGCCATGATAAACCAATGATAACCCTTTCCATCTTTCTTATATTTTTCTTATTCTGGGTTTTTATTTTTTGTAGGCAATCCTTTCAATTCTCCATGGCTACTGCACTTCCCATTAAAATAGTTATTTATTTTTTAACATCAAATTGCCATAGGACAAAGTTGATAAACACCACAGACAAATAGAGAAATATCCTGAAAATGAAAAACCACCCAATGATTTCCATATAACAGTGCCACAAGAAGAATGAAACTGTTTTTATCATGTATAATGAAGAAAAAAGAAAAAAAGAATGTATGTGTTTCATCTTGCTGAAAAGTCAGAATCACATAATATATCAAATATGTATGTGAATTGTATAAAAATAACATACGCATGTATATTAACATGCATGCACACATACCCACACACACAGGCACCCACAGCATCATATTCTGAAATAAGAAATTCTTAAGTTTGAGCATGTTAATAACAGTCCAAGGTACATGTAAATATTTCAAAGCATTTGCAAAACAATACATAAACATAAAGCAACAACAACAACAAATAAATGGTTAATAAATCATGTCAACTTCCAAATTTAGCAGGCAACAATACAAAATACTTTCAGAAAACATATATCTCATTTATCATGTCACCGAGTTTTTTCATATGGGTGTAAACAACATGTTTGCCAAGGTCCAACTCTGTTTCCTAATTGATGGGTACTTGCAGTTGTTGACTTCTGGTTAATACGGTAATTACTGTAAATTTTCAAACAATAATAATAAATATGTACTTATAGACATGAAGCCAACTCATTTTCAGAAAATTCTGAAAATATTTATGTAATACTTATAAAACAATGTTTTGGAGAATATCATTAAATTCATTTTGCTTGAATTTATAAGTAATTACCGCACATCAACTCAAGGGGAGTTATTTTCCTTTCCCTGCCGCTGCTGCCATCTAGTGGGTTGATTATTTGTGACACTGTCACAACTTGGAAATTTTGTTGAGGATTTATATGAGAATGTTCTACATACTTTGGAGAAATGGTCAGTAAAATAAATCTACTAATCTGTAGGGGATTTCATCACTGAATACAGAGAGGACCTTGTGTGACAGATGGGAAAATGTGTTAGGTGTTCTGACAAAAGGGGTTTGATTTCCCAACACAATAAGGCGTTAAAATATATCTTAAAAGTGCACTTACCTGCTTGTTCTCTCTCTGTCTTATACTGTTGGAAACTCTGCAAAGAGGGAAAAAGAAAATCAATCAACAATTCAGCAGAATTAACAGCAAAGCATCAGTCAGAGAAAATGGTTTTACAACCAACCGTATAAAGGAGAAAATGTTTTTACAAACAGCCACATGAAAGAAAAATAATGTTTTCCAAATAAAACCTCCATAGTGTGATACACTTGCATGTGTCATTTATTTCATATAAGAAAATTACAATATTAAATTGTATATCAACATTCTATTAAACATATACATCACACTACCCCCTGTAATTTTTTCTTAAGTGAATTTTCCTTTTCATAAGGATGTAACTAAATTCATGAAAACATTTTTCACTTTACAAATGCTTGGGTTTTTTTCTTCAATTTTTGTTTAATCAATGTTATATTTTTGTGTGTAAACTTCATTTAAACATCTTTTTTTTTAATCACATTCCCGAGGTCCAACTCTGCTTCTTCACAGAACCTTTCTTTTTTCAATAAACAATAATTTGCAATAACCATAAAATACAAGCACCTCTGGCAATAACCCCTAAATTAAGTACTAGGCAATAACCCCTAAATTAAGTACTACAAGTTGAGGTAGAACCAGGTGTCTATGAACCTAAATCTTTGGTGATAAGAGCAACAGTCTTCTTTATGGACACTTTCACCATATGGGTTCCATCAAATATCTATCCTCCTGTTGTTTTTTCCAGGTAAAAAAAGCAATTTTGGGAGTATCCACAGGTAATAACAACAAACATATACTGTAGTTATGACCATCTTTTAATTGATGGGTTATAAAAGGGGTCATCCTCCCTATAAATCTTTGAAAAGAACATTCTGGATAACTTGTATTTTTACTTCCTCTTCTTCTTTATATTCAGCTGGAGAGACATTTAGAAACCAAAATCCCACCTGTCTGACTTTTTAAACGCAGGCTGGGTAAAATGCTTCAACTGGAGTTTTCATTTTCTCTTGCTCGTAAAAAAAAACATGTAGTTGCTGGCTATACATGGAGAGATTTTACATTCAACAAAAAATGCACTTATTTCACATGAGAACACCTTTCATTACATTTTCCTTTCATGTCTTTTATCATTTCATACCTACCAGTACAAATCATCCTCCTTATCGATAATAAAAAAAGATGAGATCTCAGCAGACATGAAGTAAACTTTGGTTCAATGACCATATATTCAGTACAAAAAAGTAAAACGATCTTATCTCATGTCTTTACAGCTAGGAGCAGACACTTTGGTTATTAGAAGACCACAAAATAGAGAGTATCAATGAGTTTAATCTCAAACACTATTATCAGCATTCTCCTCTAGACCGCCATGAAGCATATGTATGAGTTTTAGGTTAAATATACGAGGAACCTTTGAATAATCATAAACAGCAAGTACAGATTATATGGCCTACATGACTATTGGGTCACTAAAGCTATAAGACAGGTGAGGAAGGCATCTGATGTCTTTTCTTTCGAAACAAATGAGCCATTATATCCTGTGCACTTACATTACACTTTCATATGACAATATACTAAAGATTGTATAAACATATCATAAAACAATGGAGGGCAAATGATGTTTTACAAAAAGAATACTGTTAACAATTGGTCTGAAATGTATAATGTTTAAATCAAATAACTATAGATGGTGAATACAAATAATTTTTTTTGCATTTTGACTGCATAAAAACATTTTCTCCCACCCTTAGAAAAAGCACCGAACAAAATAATAATAAAAAAAACTACTAAATCCTTCCTACCAAATATACACACTTCTATCACATTCCTCCAACAATCAGATAAAAAAAGATTTATTTCTGTGTTTACTAACAGACGGACATGTAATGCCTGGTTATCTGTCACTTTAAGCTGATACCAGCCACCTCTCTGTGATATCCAGGGTTTTACACATGCCTTTAGAGAAATTTCCATAAGTACTACTGCTGCAGGAATGTGCTTATTCAAGGGATTCCTTGTAATTCCAGTGGATTATTATCTTGGCTCGTTTCCACATTTCCCATTAAAAAAATCTGTTCTGGAGAAATTCTTCTCCAAATTTTTGCAAATAATTTGGTTGATATTTTAGATTATGCTAGCTAATGAAATGGGCAGGGCAGGCAGACGACTACTGCAAACGTACACCAGGTGTCGCCACTATACAACACTTACATAAACCTGGCTCTCCAGGAAAGGAGGGTCCCGGCAGGTACAGGTTAACAATGATGAAATCATCTTCTCTTTGTGAAAGTTACAAAAGCAACAATGCTGACAGACAGGTGCAACTTTGGAATTATAACCCTTTTAATTAGCCATTTCAAGTTCATTTGGTAGTATTTCAGTTTGTTGCATACAGCAAACAAGGCAAATTACACAGTTCTGTGAGGCCATATGCACGACAACTTTTCCGGCATTGCAAATCTTTCAAATGATTTACTGGAAAAAGCATCAAAGTCAATTAATCTCACTGATGTGCATAAGTAGTCCTGAGGAAACATTCCATAGGCTTTTCCATTATCTTGTAGAGAGCCAATGCTGCAAAAATTGTTCCAATGACAACAAGGGAACACTTCAAAATTTTTTATCCATCCTGAATACATGAGAAGAGCAGCAGAACAGTTTATATCCAATGCTGCAAAAGACAATGACTCTCCAGTACAGCTAACTGAATCTTCTTCTGAATATAATCCAAAACTGTTCTTTTGACTAAGGGTTTTCACATACTGTGTAAGAACTAAGCCAAGGTCAAAATAATAAGTCTACTTATAAATTGTACATGAACATCAACAATATTTTTGCAGTCACACTGTGCAGAGATTCCTTCAGTCAAGAAAATCTTATCCATAATTGTCCTTTCCAAAAAATAATGATATCAATCATAATGATTTTTTTCATCAATCCCCAGCAATCATGTAATCATGTTAATATCAGACAGATATTAAAACTTCTCCCTCAATCTGGGCTAGAGGCACATCAATACAGACAGTCACATACTAAATGCCAACACGAGGGCTGATCCATTTAGCCTTATGCGTCTCTGTCTTTTCCGACTGTCACCAGCTTGCCAAGCTCCTGATGACAGATCTGTCTATAGGACAGTTGATTTGGGTGGGGTGGTGCTTGGCTTAGGGAAGGTGTCATCTCCAGGTCATTATATTGTCAACTAATAGAATAATTAGTACATAATGATGACATGTGGATGTCAAATTAAAGCACTGTTAGAATGTAAGTGGCATGCATAGGACAGACTCGTGAATCGTGCTGTTATGTCTAAGGTGAAGTTCAACCCTCACATCATCTTATAGTGCCACTGTGACAAATCAATGAGATTTAAAATATAGGCATATAAAAAACTTTTGAAGTGTATTTTTAATGGGTTGTAAAATAATGTCTAGTCTTTAAATCATCACGTTCATCAGTTAAAGGGACAATTAAACATATCCCAGAAGAAACAGGTACTAAACTCATCATTTTGCCTTGATTGCAATTAGCTGCTTTGAAAATAGAAAAAAAAGCTTTTCATTAATATGTATTACTGTTGTTCATGAGTGATAGCATCCTCATAGAAAATTCATAATGGTGCACATAAGGCCGTCACCCTGTCTAAAATGTTAGCCTGCAGAATCATGATATATGGGCATCAATACATGAACAACTCTGGTCTTAAGTCAGTTTAATGACCAGGTACAGGAGAAATGTGTGTACCATTTGTCATGACAAATAATACCAGCAGATAGGCTAAATCTATGTCCTGTTATGGACTTGTATTGGAGGCTTTGGCCAAAACAATTTGGGTTATCTAAATGCGTGCTATGATTCAGGCCATTAGCTAACAATTTTAAAGGAGGGAAACGCCTAGGCGTTCTTAGAAGCAAGACCAAATTTTGATTCTGTGCAGACCTTTTCCCAAGCCAACAGGGAAGTTCTTTTTTACCCTGTCCTCCACTCCCACCCCTGTCTGCCTATAGGGCTGTGATTTAATGTTGTTCTATTGCACTAACTACATGCACTAACTGTATCCTGTGAAATGTGGCGCAAAGCCCCGAAAACATTCATTTTCTGTATTATTTCAATGCTACCACATTTTCCATATTGTCATGTGAGTTGATAATGATCACAATACTATCACTGCCATGACATTGGTTCCTTCAAGATGAAAATGGCTACCAGCGCTACATAAAATGATTTCTCTTCCAAAAGACTTGAAATGAATACAATAAAATTTAGTACTTGCAAGACCTGGAATAAATTATTCTTTCATGTGCAAAGCCTCCTCAGTTTCCTATGCAACATGGTCAACTGTAGTCTAAACAGAATCATTTGTAGTCTAAACACAAATAGTATTCCAGCGGCTCATTAATGGTATGCATTTTAAAATATAGTCCAGTCGGCATCATGGCTTTTCCAAATTGTAAACAATAGCCAAAAGCTGAATTTTCTTCAAGTCTGCAAAGAAGGATCCAGTAATCGTCTTGATTTGTTGTTTAAAAACAAACAATTCCACAGCTGCCCACTATGAGCTAGGATCATTTCCAAAAAACTCAGGCCAAATGTGACTTAGTGGTCATATGCATTAAATCCATCCACATTATTGTACGCAGTTATCCTTTCCAGACACCATATATATAAAAAACACAACCTTAAGAAACAAACTGCAGTGAACTAGTGAACTTCTTTCTAAGCTTTAGGTGTGTACATTTATATATATACAGAATATATATAAAAATAGCCAGGTATCTGGAAGGCATTTCGACCAGTTCTAGGTCAACTCTCAGCAACCACTGACAAAGCCAAATCCATCAAATCTTGAGGAGCAGAAAACAGGGGACAAAAAGATTGCAAACAGAATTGCCTGCTTTAAAGCTAAATAATTACAATTCAAACTTGAAGCCCTAGCTTTAATACAGTTTTATTTCTTTCTTGTTTTCTCTGTTTTCCATGTCTTTTACTAATAAACAAGAATCAATATTACTATCAGACCTTAAAACCATCTTTTTAAGGTATCATTTACAAAAT